TCATTGCTTCGATAAATCCAATGGTTTTCCCAGAATCGTCGTTTGAAATATTCAAAAATATGCAAAATAACCCCAATTTTCCACCAATTTTCAACAAAATTTTCCAAATTTCACTTAATACATTTTTTTGTAGATTTCAGGCCGCAGAAGTCATATCCGTTTTCATTTCTTCGATAAATCCAATGGTTTTCCGAGGATCGTCCTTTGAAATATTCAAAAATATGCAAAATTTCCCACCAATTTTCAACAAAATTTTCGAAATTTCACTTAATACATTTTGTTGTAGATTTCGGGCCGCAGAAGTCATATCCGTTTTCATTTCTTCGATAACTCCAATGGTTTTCACAGAATCGTCCTTTGAAATATTCAAAAATATGCAAAATGACCCCAATTTTCCACCAATTTTCAACAAAATTTTCGAAATTTCACTTAATACATTTTCTTGTAGATTTCAGGCCTCAGAAGTCATATCCGTTGTCATTTCTTCGATAACTGCAATGGTTTTCCCGGAATCGACCTTTGAAATATTCAAAAATATGCAAAACAACCTGAATTTTCCACCAATTTTTACCAAAATTTTCGAAATTTTACTTAATACATTTTCTTAAACATTTCGGGTCGCAGAAGTCATATCCGTTTTCATTTCTTCGATAACTCCAATGGTTTTCCCAGAATCGTCCTTTGAAATATTCAAAAACATGCAAAATTTCACACCAATTTTCAACAAAATTTTCGAAATTTCACTTAATACATTTTCTTGTAGATTTCGGATCGCAGAAGTCATATCCGTTTTCATTTCTTCGATAAATCCAATCGTTTTCTAAGAATCGTCCTTTGAAATATTCAAAAATAACCCCAATTTTCCACCAATTTTCAACAAAATTTTCGAAATTTCACTTAATACATTTTCTTGTAGATTTCGGGATGCAGAAGTCATTTCCGTTTTCATTTCTTCCATAACCCCTTTGGTTCTCCCAGAATCGTCCTTTGAAATATTCAAAAATATGCAAAATTTCCCAACAATTTTCAACAAAATTTTCGAAATTTCACTTACTACATTTTCTTGTAGATTTCGAGCCGCAGAAGTCATATACGTTTTCATTTCTTCGATAAATCCAATCGTTTTTCCAGAATCGTCCTTTGAAATATTCAAAAATATGCAAAATTTCCCACCAATTTTCAACAAAATTTTCGAAATTTCACTTAATACATTTTCTTGTAGATTTCGGGCCGCAGAAGTCATATCCGTTTTCATTTCTTCGATAAATCCAATGGTTTTCCCAGAGTCGTCCTTTGAATTATTCAAAAACATGCAAAATTTCCCACCAATTTTCAACAAAATTTTCGAAATTTCACTTAATATATTTTCTTGTAGATTTCGGGCCACAGAAGTCATATCCGTTTTCATTTCTTCCATAACTCCAATGGTTTTCCCAGAATCGTCCTTTGTAATATTCAAAAATATGCAAAATAACCCCAATTTTCCACCAATTTTCAACAAAATTTTCGAAATTTCATTTAATACATTTTCTTGTAGATTTCGGGCCGCAGAAGTCATATGCGTTTTCATTTCTTCGATAAATCCAGTGGTTTTCCCAGAATCGTCCGTTGAAATATTCAAAAATATGCAAAATTTCCCACCAATTTTCAACAAAATTTTCGAAATTTCACTTAATACATTTTCTCGTAGATTTCGGGTCGCAGAAGTCATATCCGTTTTCATTTCTTCGATAACTCCAATGGTTTTCCCAGAATCGTCCTTTGAAATATTAAAAAAAAAAACAATTTTCCACCAATTTTGAACAAAATTTTCGAAATTTCACTTAAAATATTTTCTTGTAAATTTTGGGCCGCAGAAGTCATATCCGTTTTCATTTCTTCGATAACTCCAATGGTTTTCCTAGAATCGTCATTTTGAAAAGTACAGATCAATGCAAAATTTTCGACCAATTTTCAACAAAATTTTCGAAATTTCACTAAATATATTTTCTTGTAGTTTTAGGGCAGCACAAGTCATTCCCGCTTTCGTTTTTTCGATAAATCCAATGGTTTTCCCAGAGTCGTCCTTTGAAAAGTACAAATCTATGCAAAATACGACCAAAGGACGATTCTGGGAAAACCATTGGAGTTATCGAAGAAATGAAAACGGATATGACTTCTGCGGCCCGAAATCTACAAGAAAATGTATTAAGTGAAATTTCGAAAATTTTGTTGAAAATTGGTGGAAAATTTTGCATATTTTTGAATATTTCAAAGGACGATTCTGGAAAAACGATTGGATTTATCGAAGAAATGAAAACGTATATGACTTCTGCGGCTCGAAATCTACAAGAAAATGTAGTAAGTGAAATTTCGAAAATTTTGTTGAAAATTGTTGGGAAATTTTGCATATTTTTGAATATTTCAAAGGACGATTCTGGGAGAACCAAAGGGGTTATGGAAGAAATGAAAACGGAAATGACTTCTGCATCCCGAAATCTACAAGAAAATGTATTAAGTGAAATTTCGAAAATTTTGTTGAAAATTAGTGGAAAATTGGGGTTATTTTGCATATTTTTGAATATTTCAAACGGCGATTCTGGGAAAACCATTGGAGTTATCGAAGAAATGAAAACGGATATGACTTTTGCGGCCCGAATTCTACAAGAAAATGTATTAAGTGAAATTTCGAAAATTTTGTTGAAAATTGATGAAAAATTGGGGTAATTTTGCATATTTGTGAATATTTCAAAGGACGATTCAGGGAAAACCATTGGAGTTATGGACGGAATGAAAACGGATATGACTTCTGCGGCCCGAAATCTACAAGAAAATGCATCAAGTGAAATTTCGACAATTTTGTTGAAAATTGGTGGAAAATTGGGGTTATTTTGCATATTTCTGAATATTTTAAACGGCGATTCTGGGAAAACCATTGGAGTTATCGAAGAAATGAAAACGGATATGACTTCTGCGTCGCAAAATCTGCAAGAAAATACATTAAGTGAAATTTCGAAAATTTTTTTAAAAATTGGTGGAAAATTGGGGTTATTTTGCATATTTTTGAATATTTGAAAGGACGATTCTGGGAAAACCACTGGAGTTATCGAAGAAATGAAAACGGATATGACTTCCGCGGCCCGAAATCTACAAGAAAATGTATCAAGTGAAATTTCGAAAATTTGTTGAAAATTGGTGGAAAATTGGAGTTATTTTGCATATTTTTGAATATTTCAAAGGACGATTCTGGGAAAACCATTGGAGTTATCGATGAAATGAAAACGGATATGACTTCTGCGGCCCAAAATCTACAAGAAAATGCATTAAGTGAAATTTCGAAAATTTTGTTGAAAATTGGTGGAAAATTTTGCATATTTTTGAATATTTCAAAGGACGATTCTGGAAAAACCATTGGATTTATCGAAGAAATGAAAACGGATATGACTTCTGCGGCCCGAAATCTACAAGAAAATGTAGTAAGTGAAATTTCGAAAATTTTGTTGAAAATTGGTGGGAAATTTTGCGTATTTTTGAATATTTCAAAGGACGATTCTGGGAGAACCAAAGAGGTTATGGAAGAAATGAAAACGGAAATGACTTCTGCATCCCGAAATCTACAAGAAAATGTATTAAGTGAAATTTCGAAAATTTTGATGAAAATTAGTGGAAAATTGGGGTTATTTTGCACATTTTTGAATATTTTAAACGGCGATTCTGGGAAAACCATTGGAGTTATCGAAGAAATGAAAACGGATATGACTTCTGCGGCCCGAAATCTACAAGAAAATGTATTAAGTGAAATTTGAAAAATTTTGTTGAAAATTGGTGGGAAATTTTGCGTATTTTTGAATATTTCAAAGGACGATTCTGGAAAAACCATTGGATTTATCGAAGAAATGAATACGGATATGACTTCTGCGGCCCGAAATCTACAAGAAAATGTAGTAAGTGAAATTTCGAAAATTTTGTTGAAAATTGGTGCGAAATTTTGCATATTTTTGAATATTTCAAAGGACGATTCTGGAAAAACCATTGGAGTTATCGAAGAAATGAAATCGGATATGACTTCTGCGGCCCGAAATCTACGAGAAAATGCATTAAGTGAAATTTCGAAAATTTTGTTGAAAATTGATGGAAAATTGGGGTTATTTAGCATATTTCTGAATATTTCAAAGGACGATTCTGGGAAAACCATTGGAGTCATCGAAGAAATGAAAACGGATATGACTTCTGCGGCACGAAATCTACAAGAAATTGTATTTAGTGAAATTTCAAAAATTTCGTTGAAAATTGGTCAGAAATTGGTCGTATTTTGCATAGATTTGTACTGTTCAAAGAATACTTCTGGAAAAACCATTGGAGTTATCGAAGAAATGAAAGCGGAACTGACTTGTGCGGCCCGAAATCTACAAGAAAATCCATTTGGTGAAATTTCGAAAATTTTGTTGAAAATTGGTCGAAAATTAGTCGTATTTTGCATAGATTTGTACTTTTCAAAGGACGATATCAACAAAAAAGACGAGATTCTTTCAAATTCTTTTTGGAATTAGAGATTTTGGGTTTTCCCGATTCTTTTTAACTTATCTCAAAGTAAAGACATTATTGATCCTCGAGATTCAATCGAACTATTTCGAAAATAGTACATTTGGAGTCCCCGAGATTTTTTCGAATTCTCTTAAAAACTGAGACACCATGGGCGTCCGAGATTCTTTCAAATTATCTCAAAAACACTGCACTGGTGGTTCGCGAGATTCTTTTAAAACCGAAACACCTGACGTCCCCGAGATTCTTACCTCACTTGACCTGACCTGACCTGCTTTCTCTATTGTCCTAAATAAACGGATTTTAAACATTTCTGTGAATTAATCTATATATTTTAAATTGAAAAACGAAAAAAGAACTTTATGAAAATTACTTGAGTTTTCGAACAAGACCAATATTAATTTAGTAAGTGAAGTACAACACTTCCAGCCCGTTGCCGTCATAATCGCCGCCCTTTCTCGCCCCCTGCAAAAATTTGCATGGTCCGCCATCAATATTTAACGTCCATCTTGCGCTTTACTTATGCATGCGATCCGAAGTTCGGGGGTGTTGTTGCATTATCAAGGCCGTCGCAGGATATTAGAGGGTGCGATATGATTGAGGGGGCGCACGCGACCCTTTCCCTTCCCGGCTGCATTATCGACACGTCTCGTGTCACTCCTGGCAGTGACAGTTCGACCAAGCCTTTCAAAATTCCAGCGAAAATGCAGACCACTATGGTACAAGGAAACGGGGAGTGCCCCAAACTACCCTGGATGATCGAGTTCCACAGCACGGCGAACGGGAAAATCCTGAACAACCAGCTGGAGGCGGCGTACGCCGTCAACTTCTTAGAGCATCTGAGCACTCTGAACGACAGATCGAAGCCTAAGCGGAAACGCTTGACGCAGCTGGCGGTGGTCGTGCCGCCGAAAGTGTCCGTGGACACGCTGGACGCCTTCTTGAGGGCGGGGATGACGGTGGCGGTGCTGCGGTTGGACTACTTCACCGTAGGCGAACTCCAGGAGATGATAGGTTTGATTAATGACGTGAACGCGGAGTTCGGGAAGAAAATCGGACGGGTGTATCCTTTGGCGATCGCGTTGGAGGTGACGGATAGGGAGATCATGACGGGGAAGGTACTCAGACCCATGACGGAAATCCAGTTGGAGAAGGGTCAAAAGACTAAAGTCACCGGGGACAAACAATTCCAGAATAAAGTCAGTGGGGAGTACATCTACGTCAATTGGGACAAAATTTCCGACGTGGTGAAACCTGGAGATAACTTGATTCTCGGACCCGACAAAATCCGGCTCTCCGCCTACGAAATCGCCCGCGACATCATCAACTGCATCGTCGATCGAGCCGGGATCCTAAGCGACAACCTCTCCGTCAAGATCCCGAATGTCCCCCTAATCCCTGAAACCGAATCCAACGACAAACTCATCAAAATCCACGAAAAGTGCGACGTGGACATCATCCTCGTCGGTCCTGGTAAAATCCAAGCCGCTAAAGAAATCTTCGGCCCCACTATTCTAGTCTTCGTGAAAGTCGAGCACGTCTCCGCCGTCGACGTCTTCGACGACGTCCTCAAACAAGTCGACGGAGTGCTCATCAACGGCGAAAAACTCATCATGACCTCCAAGGAGAACGTCTTCATTTTGCAGAAGTCCATCGTGGCGAAGTGCAACAAGCAATCCAAGCCGGTGATGTCGTCCATCGATTGTCACTCCGTCACCAAGTCCATCGTCAACGACATCGCCAACACCGTCATCGACGGCGTCGACTCGCTCTTGCTCCCCCCGGACCCGGACCTCCTCGAGGCCATCTGCCTGGTGTGCAAGTCCGCCGAGAGCGCTGTTTACCAGAGACAGCTCTTCGACGACTTGGTGCACCTCAAGCCGCCGCCTATCGAGCCTGTGATCTCGGTGGCGATGGCGGCGGTGGACACCTCCTTCAAGAGCAACGCCGCTGCGATTATTCTGTTGACGACGAGCGGTAGATCGGGGAAGCTGATCTCGATGTTCAGACCGAGGTGTCCGATTATAGCGTTGACGAGGTTCGGGAGGATCGCCAAGCAGCTGATGTTGTACAAGGGGGTGATTCCGATTTTCTATGTGTTGAAGAGCGGGGTTTCGTTCGACGAGAACATGGAGAGGAATATGCAGCTGGGGATGACGTTCGGGAAGGTCAATGGGTATATTAGGGCTGGGGATGCGGTGGTTATCGTCTTCGGGACGAAGGGGAATGTTGGGTTTAGGAACAGCATGGAGGTGGTGTTTGCGTCGGAGTATGACACGAGGCCTGAGAACGAGGCGGTGCGTCCTACCTTGTAACGAGTCTCCGAGTTAAGAATAAAGTGGTCGTAAAAGTGGGTTTAAAATTTTCTTTGAAATTTGACAAATTTTGAGAGGAAAATTTCATTTTTGAAAAAGTGGTCTAGAAATTCTCAAAAAGTTCCGAAATATGGCGTGTTTATAGTAGCCGAGCAACATTTTCGGAAAATTCGGTGTGAAATTGGAATTTTTTGAAATTATTTTTAGTTAGAATTCCAAAATCCTCGAAATTGGGTCGAAATTTTGATATCGTCGAAAATTTCACTTTTGAAAAAGTCGTCTAAAATTTTGAAAAAAAATCAGACTCATAGATCTTGACGTACTGATTCCAAAAATATAGTTTGTTTAGACTCACAGAGCAATATTTTAGAAATATTCAGAGTGAATTTCGATTTTATTTTTAAATTTCGATTCTGGAAAAACGGTTGCAGTTCTCGAAAAAATACGGTTGGATGTGACTTCCGCATCTCGAAATCTACAAGAAAATGTATTTAGTTAAATTTTTTAAATTGTTGAAAATGGGTCGAAATTTTCATAAGGGAAAATACATTTGTGAAACGAAGCCGAAAATAATTTCTATAAGTCGAATGCCACAAGAAAATCTCGAAGGTTGGTCGACAAACCGTCAAAAAATCCATTTTCCAAAAAAATGATTGTGAGGTCTATTAAAAAATTGAAATTTTATAAAAATTGACTAAAAATGTTCAAACAATTTAGGGACACCCATTTAGACGATAAACTCGATAAAATTCAGTTAGAAAATTCAGTTGAAATAATCCAAAAATTGTCATGATTGATTTTATCGAGTCTGGAAAAATTGTTGAGATTTTCAAAGGAATGAAGGCGAAAATAACATGAAGTGTACATTTATAAGAAAATGTGTTTAAGTGATTTTCGAAGGATGCTCGAGAAAGGGCCGAAAAATTGATTATTTTTGAAAAATTGACTAAGAATTCTGGAAATATATATGTTGATGGGTTAATTCAAAAAATATTTCGCATTGAGGCTCTTGGTAAAAGATTTTCAAAAATTTCGGTTTACAAATTTTCAATTTTCAAGTTTAAATTTTCCAACGTTTGCATTTTATTTTCTTTATTTTTTCATTTTTTCGTTTCCTCTATTTTTTGATTTGCGATTTATTAATTTTTAATTTTTTTGTTTCTTTAATTTTATATTTTTCAATTTTTTCGGTTTTCATTTTTTTCTAGTACTTGCTAAGATAAGACTGATTGTGGCAGATGACATACCTTCCAAGAAAACAGAGGGTGGCTGGGCGGGGCTATAACTTGTTGAGATAAAACTGAACAATATTAGATTTTTTCAAACTACTTCAAAAATGAAACAAAAAACGTCCCTGATTTTCTTTCGAACCACTTTAAAGGCAAGTCAAGGGATCCGTGAGATTCTTTCAAACTACTTCAAATACACAAAAAATGGGTCGAAATTTTCATAACGGAAAATACATAGTGGAAAATTTCATTTGTGAAACGAAGCCGAAAATAATTTCTATAAGCCGAATGCCACAAGAAAATCTCGAAGCTTGGTCGACAAACCCTCAAAAAATTCATTTTTCAAAAAAATGTTTGTGAGGTCTATTAAAAAATTGAAATTTTATAAAAATTGACTAAAAATGTTCAAACAATTCAGGGAAACCCATTTAGACGATAAACTCGATAAAATTCAGTTAGAAAATGATATTTTTGAAATATTCCAAAAATTGTCATGATTGATTTTATCGACTCTGGAAAAATTATTGAGATTTGCAAAGGAATGAAGGCGAAAATAACATGAAGTGTATATAAGAAAATGTGTTTAAGTGATTTTCGAAGGGTGCTCGTGAAAGGGCCGAAAAATTGAGATTTTTGAAAAATTGACTAAGAATTCTGGAAAATATATATGTTGACTGGTTAATTAAAAAAATATTTCGCATTGAGGCCCTTGATAAAAGATTTCCGAAAATTTCGGTTTACAAATTTTGAATTTTCAAGTTTAAATTTTCCGATGTTTGCATTTTATTTTCTTTATTTTTTCATTTTTTCGTTTCCTCTATTTTTTGATTTGCGATTTATTAATTTTTCATTTTTTTGTTTCTTTAATTTTTATATTTTTCAATTTTTTCGGTTTTCATTTTCTTCTAGTACTTGATAAGATAAGACTGATTGTGGCAGATGACATACCTTCCAAGAAAACAGAGGGTGGGTGGGCGGGGCTATAACTTGTTGAGATAAAACTGAACAATTTTAGATTTTTTCAAACTACTTCAAAAATGAAACAAAAAAAGTCCCTGATTTTCTTTCGAACCACTTTAAAGGCAAGACAAGGGATCCGTGAGATTCTTTCAAACTACTTCAAATACACAAAAAATGGGTCGAAATTTTCATAAGGGAAAATACATAGTGGAAAATTTCATTTGTGAAACGAAGCCGAAAATAATTTCTATAAGCCGAATGCCACAAGAAAATCTCAAAGGTTGGTCGACAAACCCTGAAAAAATTCATTTTTCAAAAAAATGTTTGTGAGGTCTATTAAAAAATTGAAATTTTATAAAAATTGACTAAAAATGTTCAAACAATTCAGGGAAACCCATTTAGACGATAAACTCGATAAAATTCAGTTAGAAAATGATATTTTTGAAATATTCCAAAAATTGTCATGATTCATTTTATCGACTCTGGAAAAATTGTTGAGATTTTCAAAGGAGTGAAGGCGAAAATAACATGAAGTGTACATTTATAAGAAAATGTGTTTAAGTGATTTTCGAAGGGTGCTCGAGAAAGGGCCGAAAAATTGAGATTTTTGAAAAATTGACTAAGAATTCTGGAAAATGTATATGTTGATGGGTTAATTCAAAAAATATTTCGCATTGAGGCCCTTGGTAAAAGATTTTCGAAAATTTCGGTTTACAAATTTTCAATTTTCAAGTTTAAATTTTCCAACGTTTGCATTTTATTTTCTTTATTTTTTCATTTTTTCGTTTCCTCTATTTTTTGATTTGCGATTTATTAATTTTTCATTTTTTGTTTCTTTAATGTTTATATTTTTCAATTTTTTCGGTTTTCATTTTTTTCTAGTACTTGATAAGATAAGACTGATTGTGGCAGATGACATACCTTCCAAGAAAACAGAGGGTGGGTGGGCGGGTCTAGTACTTGATAAGATAAGACTGATTGTGACAGATGACATACCTTCCAAGAAAACAGAGGGTGGGTGGGCGGGGCTATAACTTGTTGAGATAAAACGGAACAATATTAGATTTTTTCAAACTACTTCAAAAATGAAACAAAAAAAGTCCCTGATTTTCTTTCGAACCACTTTAAAGGCAAGACAAGGGATCCGTGAGATTCTTTCAAACTACTTCAAATACACAAAAAATGGGTCGAAATTTTCATAAGAGAAAATACATAGTGGAAAATTTCATTTGTAAAACGAAGCCGAAAATAATTTCTATAAGCCGAATGCCACAAGAAAATCTCGAAGCTTGGTCGACAAACCGTCAAAAAATTCATTTTTCAAAAAAATGTTTGTGAGGTCTATTAAAAAATTGAAATTTTATAAAAATTGACTAAAAATGTTCAAACAATTCAGGGAAACCCATTTAGACGATAAACTCGATAAAATTCAGTTAGAAAATGATATTTTTGAAATATCCCAAAAATTGTCATGATTCATCTTATCGACTCTGGAAAAATTGTTGAGATTTTCAAAGGAGTGAAGGCGAAAATAACATGAAGTGTACATTTATAAGAAAATGTGTTTAAGTGATTTTCGAAGGGTGCTCGTGAAAGGGCCGAAAAATTGAGATTTTTGAAAAATTGACTAAGAATTCTGGAAAATATATACGTTGACGGGTTAATTAAAAAAATATTTCGCATTGAGGCTCTTGGTAAAAGATTTTCAAAAATTTCGGTTTACAAATTTTCAATTTTCAAGTTTAAATTTTCCAACGTTTGCATTTTATTTTCTTTATTTTTTCATTTTTTCGTTTCCTCTATTTTTTGATTTGCGATTTATTAATTTTTCATTTTTTTGTTTCTTTAATTTTTATATTTTTCAATTTTTTCGGTTTTCATTTTTTTCTAGTACTTGATAAGATAAGACTGATTGTGGCAGATGACATACCTTCCAAGAAAACAGAGGGTGGGTGGGCGGGGTTAGTATTTGATAAGATAAGACTGATTTTGGTAAATGACATACTCTTTAAAAAAATAAAGGGTGGGTGGGTGGCGCTAGTATTCGCTAAGATAAGACTGATTGTGGCAGATGACATACCTTCCAAGAAAACAGAGGGTGGGTGGGCGGGGCTATAACTTGTTGAGATAAAACTGAACAATATTCGATTTTTTCAAACTACTTCAAAAATGAAACAAAAAAAGTCCCTGATTTTCTTTCGAACCACTTTAAAGGCAAGACAAGGGATTCGTGAGATTCTTTCAAACTACTTCAAATACACAAAAAATGGGTCGAAATTTTCATAAGGGAAAATACATAATGGAAAATTTCATTTGTGAAACGAAGGCGAAAATAATTTCTATAAGCCGAATGCCACAAGAAAATCTCGAAGGTTGGTCGACAAAACCTCAAAAAATTCATTTTTCAAAAAAATGTTTGTGAGGTCTATTAAAAAATTGAAATTTTATAAAAATTGACTACAAATGTTCAAACAATTCAGGAAAACCCATTTAGACGATAAACTAGATAAAATTCAGTTAGAAAATGATATTTTTGAAATATTCCAAAAATTGTCATGATTGATTTTATCGACTCTGGAAAAATTGTTGAGATTTTCAAAGGAATGAAGGCGAAAATAACATGAAGTGTACATTTATAAGAAAATGTGTTTAAGTGATTTTCGAAGGGTGCTCGAGAAAGGGCCGAAAAATTGAGATTTTTGAAAAATTGACTAAGAATTCTGGAAAATGTATATGTTGATGGGTTAATTCAAAAAATATTTCGCATTGAGGCCCTTGGTAAAAGATTTTCGAAAATTTCGGTTTACAAATTTTCAATTTTCAAGTTTAAAT